ATAGATAGATATATATAGATATATACACACATACATACATATATATATATATGCAACATGTCACAACTAACCCAAGGCATAAATGTAAACCAAGTATATTTCATGTCTATAGAACCACAATTGCCAACATCTGTTACCAGCAAAACTCCCACTTGAATGTGTGGAGACTGGGATTTCTTAGCATAATGAAAGCAACACATAATAAAATGAAGCTCAAGGTCCGGGAGTATAGCCAAGTAGTAGGGCACTTGCCTAGCATGTGCAAGGCCTGGGTTCTATCCCCAGTACCAGGAATAAAAGAACACAAGAAAAATTCACAGTGAGTAGGAAAGGACTATTTATGTATATACAAATATTTTGTGTAATTAGTATTTAAGAAATAATATTAAAGAATATACAACATATAAATTATACACATGCTTCTCCAAGTTCCTTCTATTTTTAGTGATAGGCCCTCAGCAGGAACACAAAAACAGAAATCAAGGTATGATAACATCAGCCGTCTTCAAATCAGCACAGAAAAGATCCTGGAGATCGGGCTGTTGCCAAGGAAGAGATTTTCCTTTTTTTCACACCAGGTGGATTACAGCAGCTACAGTCACCCAGGCACTCAAGGACTTTTGCTGTCATGCTTTTGCTGCCCAGTGGGAGAAGGAAGCTGTCAACCTCAGGGGAGTCCACTGTCCAGGCAGCAGCAGGGACTGGGAAAAACCAGTACCCCAGTGGAAAAGAAGAGGGCAACCCTGGGGCACCAAGGCCCACCTGTGGAGTGGATCTGAGATTCCCAAGCAGTGTTCCCCATCAGCTCATCTATTCTGACCAAGATGGCCTGGGCAGAGACTTCTGGGACTTTAGCTCCTGGTTGCTGGAGTCTGAAGTAAAGGCTAGGGTTGCCCAAAGGACCAGTCAGCTTCCACCCACAGAGCTGTGGCACTTTCGTTCCTAGAAGTTGCTAATTGGTACTGGTGATCCACTATGTTTTTATGAGAAGAATCAGATAACAATAACAGGAATGCTGCTTCAAACTGAAGGTCAGTCCTGGACCAGACACCGGTGAAAACAGATATGCTAAGTGCCTTCTAGGCTTGTCCAAAAGTGGAGGGCAGACAAAAAGGACTTGCAGACAGGAGGATGCAGGGAGATCAGGATAAGATGATACAAGGATTGAGCACTTGTGTTGGGCTGAATGGCGTTTTCCTATCTGTGGGCATTTGGCGATCCACGATTGGGCGTCCAGAAAAAGCAAGCAGAGAGGAGGAATCTGGAGGTGAGTGAATTGATGGAATTTGAATTCCATAATTGCGACTTGAATTTCTGCCATTGGCAGGAGGCTACGTTGCAGTCTTTTGCTACAAAGGAGGGGAATAAAAAGAAATTTTGAAAACCAAAAGCGCTGTGCAGAGCGGAGTCAGGCGGAATGGAAGTGGGTTAGGGTATTATATAAGCCCTTCGAGGGAGGGGAGATGGTCTTTTATGTGCGTTCTTTTGCAGCAGCAGAGCGCAGCGGCAACAGCGGCTCAGGTTGATTTAGAGCGCGGATGACAGTGGCCTGGCGCGAGCCCGCGGCTGACGACAGCGCGGATCCGCTCGGTCTCCATGGAGACGGGCAAGAGCAGCGGCGGCAGCGGCGGCGGGGCTG